GGGGGAGGTCCTCTCCAGGCTCTATTGGCAGGAGGCTTGGAGACACCATTCCTGCAGGTCCCACCCTCCCCCTCGCCTGGTGGGCACCTACCTTTCTGGAGGCACATTCCTGGGGGCTCTTTCTTCTTTTCTGTCTGCCCTGGGATCCTCAGGCTTTTCCATGGGGCCCATTGCAGAAGGGTTGGGTCCCACTGCTGGCGTGTCCTCCAGGGGGACATTGGTCCCCACCACCACCTCCTTGGCTGCCTCCACGCCTGGAGGGTTGGGCAGACCTTGGGGCACCAAGTGGGGTTCTGGGCCCACCTCCTTGGTCTCCTGGGTAGCCTGTTGGTCCCGAGCCTTCTTGGTGCTGAGACGAGGCATGGTGCCCATGTGACTGTACATGTCGCTGGAGCGGGCGTAGGCGAGGGGGCTTTTGGGGACAGTCACCATGTCATCCTGTGTAGCCTCAAAGGGATCAGGCTCCAGATGGGACCCGAGACTGATGGTGGTTGAGGACCGTTTCAGAGTGAAGGACCGAGGGAGGTTGGAGAGACTCCCGATGCCCTTGAACTTGAAGAACTCTGGTTGGGGGTTGGGGGTTGCGGGGGAGAAGAGGAGGGAAAGGAGTTAATGTCAGCAGCAATAATAATAACAATAAAAAATACATGTCACTTCTCTTATTGAGGGTTCAGGGAGGGTCAGGGCTTCACAGACATTCCCTCTGTTATGGTATAACCCGGCAGCTCTAGAATCACGGAGCCCTGGGCTTCAATCTCTTCTCTTGCACATCTTAGCTTTGTGACCTTAGGCAAGTCGCTTGACCTTTCTGAGACCCATTCTCCACATCAGCAAAACAGAGACTGTAGTACCCACCTCCTGTGGGCAGCAGGAGGACTGAAGGAAAGCATGTAAATAACATAACAGCCTCCACAAGTAATGAAGATAATTATGATGGTGATCACAGTAAATGCCTCTGGTTGGTCAAATATGCTTCAAGCATCACCTCACTGAAGTCCCAGCACAGTTCAATGGCACAAGTTTAATTTCCCTTTTTGCAGATGACCAAGTGCAGGTTAGAGCTGTGGAAGGAACGGCCCCGAGGTGGCTTAGCCAGCAGGTGAAGCGTTTGTGTGCGTGGGGGAGGAGGAGCAGGGAGGGGGGTGTGTTTGAGCACCTGGGGCGGGGGATGAAATGAGAAGGGGGTTGTTGGGAGCCTGGGCAGCCCACTCTCTGAGGTTCTGTCCTTCCTGTCAGCTGAGCGCACGGTCCTGACTCAGGCGGCAGGGCTCGGTGATACCATCTCCTCATTTCCGCAGGGGTGCGTGTGCGCTCCCTCCGCCCCGCCCCCAGCTGTGGGACTGCCCCTCCTCGAAGCCACCACCATCTGACAACCCTATGGCCTCCGGATGAGGGAAAAGGGAAAACCCTGGCATTTTCACTTCCTGGGCACCCTCTGCCTCCTCGGGTCCTCACCACTGTGTTGGAATATATAGGTAGGATGCCCCCATTGAGGAGAGAGGAAACTAAGGCCCAGAGAGGGGAGGGACTTGCCCAGGGTCACACAGCAGGGCTGAGCCTGGATGAGGGCTCAGGGCTCTGGACTCGGGTGGGGGGTGTGTGTGTGTGTGTGTGTGTGTGTGTGTGTGTGTGTGTGTGTGTGTGTCAGTGTCCTGGAGCTTTCCTCCCAGCCCTGCCCACTCCCTAATTGGTCTTAGCCTCTGCCTTCTGACAAACTCTGATTCTGATGCCCTGCTCTTAGAAAGCTATGCCATGGGCCAGAAATGTGCCAGTGCGAGGAGGGGGACCAAGAACTGCGGTTTCTTGGGCACCGGGGGGTCTGGAGGAAACAGCAGTGGGACAGTAGAGGGTACCCGAGGCCTGAATTTAGGGACATGGGATTGAGCCCTGCTCTGAAGCCCTATATGATCTCAGGCAAGTCTCTGGGCCCCAGTATTTTCATCGGAATGCAGTCATAATCCTGGCCCTGTACACCAGCCCCTTCCCACCCCCATGCCGGCAGACTGAAGGACTCAGGGGAAGCAGAAGTTTGCTGAGACCAGGAGGGGACCGCCCTGGGGAAATAGAGCCTTGGTGACTGTGACCCCTCATCGAGTTGCACCAAGTCCCAGCGTCACTGATGCTGGGGACGTGGGACAGCATCCCATGGCACACCCACACACACTCCAGCCCAGTAACTTCCAACCCAGCACTTCCCGCCCCCCCCCCACCCCACCGTGTGAACCAGTCCCAGAGGCAGGGTGTGGAGTGTGTGGAAGTCTTCAGTTGCCCGGCCATGGGGTCCAAGAAAACCAGAGATGGACACACAGATGAATGCAGGGACAGAGAAACAGAAACGGGGAGAGTCAGAGACAAGAAACAGACGGAGAACCAAACCAGCAGGAGACAGAGAGAGCTACCGGGCCAGAGTGCTGGAGGGTTGGCGACAAGGAACCCAGAAGCAGGGAGCTCCGGAGAGGGGCAGAGATGGACAGAAAGAGAAACGGAAATGAGACCGTGATAAAGAAGCAATGCAGAGAGAGGCTGAGCTGGACGGACAGACAGAGGGATGAAGGGCAGTGCAAAGGGCACCCCACACTCACTGAACTTTCTGCTGGCTTTCTTGGGCCCCTCCGTCATCTTGGCAAGTCGTGCAAAGCCCCTGGCCGGTGGGCAAGTGGCCACTCGCAGCTCAGGACATCAACGTTGAGGTTCCTCCCTCACCTCCCCTTCCCCTTTCTTGCACCCTCTCACTCGCTTCCTCTGTGTATTTTTAAACCAGTGAAACTCCCACAGCTCCACCCTCCCCATCCTCTCCACAGGGGGCGGGGGCCAGAGCCTCCCCCATTCTGGGCCCCTGGGGCTGCCTCCTCGGCCTTGGCTGGGGGTGGGGTGTAGGGGGGCAGGGAGCAGACCACAAGCCCATGGGACCTGGAGGGCCCTGGAGACAAACCACAGGCCCCAGGAATGGAGCCTGCTAGGCGGGGGGCTGTCAGGGGGTCTGGCAGAGTCAGGCTGGCCCACAGGGCAGTTTGTTCTAAGCCTCGGTGTCTGGGGGAAGGACTGGCGGCAGCGAAGAGTTCTGTGGTTAGGCCTGGGGCCGTGGGACCACCCAAACCCAAATTCCAGCCTTGGCTGGCTTCTTTGTCGCCATGTGATCCTGGCTGGGCCACTGACCTCCCTGAGCCTCAGGTTCCTCACTGTGAGCAGGGGGCATTGGCCACGCCTACCTCACAGGGTCTAGTGCTTGGTGCAAAGCCTGGCACAGAATGGGGGGGCCACCAAGGCACGATCATTCCTTCTTAAGCCAGCGGCGACATGGTGATAATTTGCTCCACCACACCCATTGTACACACAGGGGGAGACTGAAGCGCAGGCAGGCAGAGGGATTGTCCCAGGTCATATGGCAGGTTGATGGCACAGACTGGGTTACATCTCCCCCCTTTTAGGTTCCTTAGCCCACAGCCTGGTGCTTTTCCACCATACAACGTGTGTGTTTGTGTGTGTGTGGGTGTGTGTGGGTGTCTTGCTCGTGTGGGCAGGAAAGAGATGAGGAAATGAAACTCCCCTACAAAGGTTGTTCCAGACACCTGTGGAGGCTGTCAGCAGCTGCTGGTGTTGAGGCGGCTACAAGACCCGGGGTTTCAAATCCCAGCTCTGTGTACTGCAAGCAAGTTACTGCTGCCTCTGAAGCCCCAGGCACCTGATCTCTAGAATGAGCACAAATGCAAGGGACACAGTTAAGTCACAGAGGCTCCAGCATGATTGGACATGCTTATCCTGGCCCCCAGGCTGGCAACCGGGCCTATGAGAGAGGGAGTCCAAGGTCAGATGGGGCCCTTCCTGCATCCTCTATAAAAATAATGACTAACGTCTTCTGATCTCTTAGTACATTCCAGCCAGAGAGCTCAGTCCTCCTGCCCTAAGGGGTAAATGGTGTGTCTCTTGTCCCCATTTTACAGATGGGGAAACTGAGCCGCCACACCCCACCCCCCCCTGCCGCCAAAGTCAACTGACCTGGAATTAGGACCTGCTTGTCCAGCTATGGAACCTGAGGTACTGACTTCCAGTCCCACAGCTCCTAAACCACACCCCCCCCAACCCCGGCAGCTGGATGATGGGCCCTGGTGGAGGAAGCATCTGACTAAACCTTCTTTTTTTTTTTTTTTTTAAGATTTTATTTATTTATTTGAGAGAGAGAATGAGACAGAGAGAGAGAGCACGAGATGGAAGAGGGTCAGAGGGAGAAGCAGGCTCCCCGCCAAGCAGGGAGCCCGATGTGGGACTCGATCCCGGGACTCCAGGATCATGACCTGAGCCGAAGGCAGTCGCTTAACCAACTGAGCCACCCAGGTGCCCATGACTAAACCTTCTTAATGGGATGAGGGGGAACCTGAGGCCCTGAGGGGAAAAGGGACACACCCTATGAGACCGAGACAGCAGAGTCCTGCTCATAGACAGGCCTGGATGGGACCAGTGTGCAAAGTTCAAATGAAAGGATGGGGTTTCTGGGTCATGGACCTGGGAAGAAAAGGTCCTTCTACTGAGTCCTGACCATGAGCCAGGCATGGAGCTGTAAGCCTCCACAGATCATCCAGTGAGTCCCTACAACAGACCTGTGAGGCGAGTGTTGGTACTGTCCCATTTTACAGATGAGCAAACTGAGGCTGAAGAGGAGCAGAGACTAGACAGACAGACAGCCAGGTGTCCTAGCTTCCAGCCTGGTGCTCCCTCCCACCTCCAGTTGTCAGGGGAGAGAGAAGGGCCTGCGGCCTGGTGGTAGCTAGGGGTCTTCCTCATGGAAGCAGAGGGTGGTTCCCCTGGCTTCTCTCCTGGGAGGCAGTCCCAGTGACTTGGGCTAAGTGCTGGGTTTCTGGCACTCCCGACTTACTGTGTGACCTTTCATGAGACACTTTACCTCTTTGGGACTCAGTTTCTATCCATGAAATAGGTTCACAGGAGCTCCCATTTCCAGAGGTTGTTGGGAGGATGAAAGGAGCAAATGTTGCCCAGGCTAATCTGCTGTAGCCTTGGCAGCCCCTGGTGGTTGTTGCTGAGGGGTGGGGGTGGTCCAGGCGGGGGGCAGATTGGCACAGGCCCAGAAGACCCCAGGGGAGAGCCCATGGTCCGAGAAAGCCAGGAGTCCCGGGCCGTGCTGAGTCTGTGTTGCTGTGGCTTGTGAGCTTTAGGCCAGTCCTGCCGTTGGCCTGGGCTCCAGGGCAGTGGCTGCGTCCCTGGGAGAATGAATGGGGCTCAGTGTGGCAGCTCCGCTGAGCTCAGAGCCCCCTTTGTGCTGCCTTGAGTGGCCGTTGGGAGTGCGGCTGGGGACCTGCTGGCGGGCGGCTGTCCCGCCGGCCCTCCTCAGCCTGCGTTGGAGGCCAGCCCAGAGCAGCCCGTGTGCTTCTAGCCCCAGAACATACAAGTGCTTTCCTGCCTTCGGGCCTCTGCTTCAGCGGGACCCACCCCCGCAACGCTGCCCCCCC